CTAATCCTAGTTCTCCATGATTGTGCCTCTGGTTGGACTACTGGGGCCTAGTTTGGCTTAGCCTCGGTCTGCGGCCATGTGTGTTTGGTGTTGGTGATACATGGTCTGACACTTAGTCATCGGCTCCCTCCTTAGTGCGGGATGTCCCCCTTCGGACATGTTTCCTTCCGTTCATTCGTGGGCCCTGTGGCTCTCTGTACTAAGTACTTCGGCTGTCCGTGCTTGGTGTCGGTGGTTTGCGGCCTTTCTGTCGGGCCTGGTGTGCCCCCTGGGGTAGGGCGGTCAACGCTCTGTTGGAATGTACGTCTAACGATTGGCCAGTAAGGACTCCTTACTGGTTGGTCCTCCAGGGTAATCCTCGCTTCCTAATCATTGCCACCGCTCCTTATAACCCTAGGTAAACAAAATTAGTAATTTGCGGCAGCGCATAATGGTTTCGGTGCGGCTGCCGTACAGTTCCTATATATCCCTATATCCCTGGCTAAACATTGTAGGGCCCTCGCGAATTCCAATCGTCGCTGTGCTGCTGCGCCGCTAAAACAGCCAAACAAGGCTTTATATCTTATCAGTTTTACACCCTTTATTCATTTATGTAATTGGAATTGTCAAAGTCCGCTTTTGGCCATAGCCTCGGTCTGCATGAACCAGCCATTCCCACGCAAACCACCCCAAAGCTCCGCGCCAATGACCCAACCAGGTCCTTTTAACCCACCATAACGTTTTCACTTTTGCTACAAGCAAAAGCCCGCTGCTTCAGCCTATTGTGGGTCACCGGACACGTGGTCCGAGCACCGTACACTTCTCAGCGAGGCATTTCCACCAGTATACATATTCTACTGGCCCACGCTTTTTCGCTTTAGTTACGTTGCTGTGCTTCATTCTCCTAGTCGTGGCCCTCACTGGCCTTCATTCAGTGGACCCCTTGCCGCGGTTGACAACGAGTTAACATTGACCACGCCCGCGGCTCATTTAGTAGCCCATGGCGGCTACCACGCCATGGACAGCCCCAGCTGGCCTCACGTTCCTAATTCTGGTTGGTAAATACAGCTTTATCGCTGCATTTTAGTAAACCGCGCAACCTTCGAGCTCATGCAAAGTGAACATTGACCGCAGGACTCTTCACATTCCAACCGTTTCAAAGGAGGCCGTCAATGCCACACATCCATCGCTTCTCGGCGTTCAAGCTCCTCAATCAACGTTCTGACAGTCGTGCTGGTAGCCTTCTTTCTCACTGGCGCTGGTGCGCAGACGCTATCTACGCGTACAGCGTTAGCCATCCACTATTCCTTATTTAACAAAACCAGACCGAAGCGATCTCATGGCCTGCCCAAGTGGACGTGTGGGGTGGTGGGTGATAGTTGTGTGGCTGGTTGCATGAGGGCCTATGTATGTGGATCTATGTATCTCAAGTGTTCACTAAGGCTTATCCAACGTTTGTGCGCTTACATGAAGGCCGGAGCTATAGAACCTTTGTCAATGCCCCACAACTAGCAAATATTGGCAAACAACCAATAACCCACCAATGTCACCATCCTCCACACCGCTATTGTTGCTGACGTTTCCATTATCCTCTGATGAACATAGAAGACGCTGAGTTTTCGCCAACTGCCGAAGTCGGTAGTGCACTTGATTGTACGTGGCAGCACTTCCATTCAATTCCTTTACGACAGCGCCCGCTGTTACTTTTCTGTTGGTGGATTGTAGCGTGAGCACTGCTTCCTGAAACGCTGCTTCCTCGTTCGGAGTCCACTTTGAACGCTTCTTCGAAGGCTGAGTGGTAGCGTTGGGCCTAGGCCGGATATACTTTTGCCCGGCTTTGTTGTATTGCAAAAAGCAGAGAACACGTTTATACGTCAAGCCCTTCAAGCGCGTGTCGGAGCACACTTCATCATACAATAGCTTGGCAGTAAGTTTCAGTCCGCTAGAAGCAATAGTCTCGGCTGCTTTACACAGAGCCTCAACTTCATATGTTTTCATGCATTCCCTGGCCATTGTGTGTATTGAGTAATAAAGGCAATACCGAAGCCATTGGTGTCGGCCCTATTAAACTACGCTGCTGGCCTTACCGCGACAACAACCTAACGGATACCAACGTGTAGCAAGCTATCAACATGCGCTTAAGGCCTGCAAGAGTGCTCGTACCCCCTAAGGCCTCTTCTTTTGTAACTTGTTTTGTACTTTGTACGACACAGGCCAACATCACTGCTCACCCATATACACATCATTATCACAGGCCCCACGCCCGCGGGATCGGGTGACTTTTGCGGAAAAGTCAGCCGTAAAAGTCATCTACAAACGCGGTGACTTTTACCCTTAGTAGCTTAACAGTAGATTGCTAGATATAGGCTAATAGTTGACTTCTAGGCTGCTTACTTCGCAGCTCCTGAGCTAACACGTTACTTTTTTTTATGCATGCGAAGCCACCCACCACCACAGCAACCTGCAAACATCCAGCCTTACTCACCTTTAAGCTTTTACACGCTCATCGACCACTACATATGGCAGGTGTCGATAGGAAAGCGCAGGCTAGCCCCGGGGTCCTTCAGCGACTAAATGCCCACGTCCAAAGGATAGGTCATGTAACCTAACAACTGTGAATCATACCGCGGGGCCATGGATGTTGGGGAGGCGGGAACGGGTGCTACTCTTATCTGTCCCCGTGCAACGCCTGCCTTCCCCTCGTGCAGCCCCTGCCTCCCTTGCCGCTTCCCCGCCAGTTCTGTGCCTACCACCGTCATGCCTTCTATGCGCGGCGTTTGCCTTCCCATGCGCTTCGCGGCCCCTGGTTGGGTTCCCAACTCCCTATGCCCTTCCCCGTACCGTGCCTGCCTCTCCATGATGTTGCCAGCCCGAGGCCTGCCTCCCGACGCCCGTTTATGTGCAGCACCTGCCCCTCCCTGCCCTTCCCTGTGCGGCGCTTGCGTCCTTAGACCCGTCTCTGCACGGCCCCAGCCTACCTGTGTGCCTGCCCCTGCGCAATACCGCTTGTTCTCCCGTGGGATTCCCATGCCCTTCCCCGTGGGCCCCGTCGGCGCCAGTGTCAATGCCCTCCTCCGTATGGTGCCGCTGCGGCCCTCTGAGGGACTTCTATGCCCTTCTCCGTGTGGCGCCTGCCTCCCCGCGCCCTTCCCGATGCTTCACCTGCTCGACCTGCCCTGTGCTTTACCCCTCATTTCTTCTCTGCCACACCAGAGGTAGGGGCGCTTTTGTCATACTGCCTCCACATGTGTACCCGTGCCTTTTCAGCACCGGAAGAGCTGACGCGCTGTATGGGAGGGTAAAGACCCTTCTTTGTAAAGTTGAAACCCCTTTGTTGGATGGCAAAATGGAAGCACACACGCACAAAAACGAAGTATCCATCCACCACCCATCACCATGCGCGGCACAGCGCTTACATGTATGTGCAAAAACCCAAAGCGCGGCCGGCTACATATAGCCAAAGGGAACCGTTGATAGCTAGCTAAACACTTGGCCGCTGCTGCAACGCGTGCTGTCTGGGACGTCCAGGCTTATAACCCTTATAACGTCAGAGGGCCCTAAGACCCACATGTCGACCACAATGCACCCTGCTGCATGCTGCTGACTAACTGACACCATGTACGCTGATGACCGCCTTACGCCCAACGTCTGTGGCCAAACATGCGGTAAAAGGACCGCACATCCCCCGTGCCTCTCGATCACGCAGTAGGTATGCACATGCACCATGGTTTGGCGGGGTGAGGAGTTTGTCCACGTGCATGTCCATCCGTGGGTATGTGTTGCCTCATTGAAGCGTCCGCCTCTCGGAACATCCGACTGTTGACGACGCGTCCGGCTGTCACAGTACGTATGGCACTGTTCGCATAGCAATATACATGCGGCCTTGAACCCTGTTCTTTCCTGCGTTGCACCTGCCCCCCCTCCCGTGCCTCATCATCCAGTTTGTCAGTTTTCCTTATTTTTACCCTCCCTCCCGTGCAGCGCCTATCGTCCTCCTGGCCCTCCCTACACGCGAGTTCTGCTTCCCATGCCTTTTTCCGTGCAGCGCGATGTGAAGGGCCCTGTGCCCAGCATATTTATGATGAGCCCCATGTGAACATAGCCCACACAGCTTTCATGAACATCCACGCCGCGAGCAGCAGCACTAGTTATTGGCACTCACATGCGCATGCATCCCACCCTTTCCAGCTGTCTGTGCTCAAGCGTGCAGACATCCTCTCGTCCTGCCAGGAACCGGCACCCACGAGCGCAAGCATGACCGCCCCTCCCAACCACCTGCGACCAGGCAATTCCCACGCACCCACCCGTGCATCAGTGCCGATGCCTGTATACATGCCCAACTACCGGCGCCCATGGTCGTACGCACACTAGTCGCGCCCAACTATCGAACTGTTGGATGCATGCGCATACAGACACCCCCTGTCCTAGTGAATTACCCAGGCCAGCGCCCTGCCGTGCTCCTAAACTGGTGCATATGCGTGCAGGAATGAGGGGACTTGGGGACAGAAGCTTCACGAGGAAGAGCCATTAAACGAACATAGTAGCGACCGTTCATCCGTTCAGTAAATTCGAGGAACGGGCAATGACAGGGGGAGACAGGGCCGCACGGGGAAGGGCAGATGCACGGGAAAGGGCATTGGAAGGCAAGCACAGCACGGGAAAGGCAGGGTAGCAGCAGGGGCGCCACACGAGGAGAGGTATGAAGAGTCAGGTGCCGCGACGGGGAAAGCCAGGGGCTGGCAGGCGTCGCGTGTGGAAGGGCGGCCGCACGGGCAAGGGAATGGGGAGGTAGGAGGCTCGCTTATGCAACGGAAATCTCGCTGAATGACCCCGGGGTTAGGCCTACGCTTTCCTATCGACACCTGAGATATGAATGGCCGCTGAGCGTATAAAAAGCTTAAAGGAGGCAACAGGAATAAGGCTGGAGGTATGTAGGTTGTTGTTGTGGTGGATGGCAACGCATGCATACGAACAAGTGAACGTATTAGCGCTAAACAAGCAGCCTAAAAGTCAACTATTAGCCTATATCTAACAATCTACTGTTAAGCTACTAAGGGTAAAAGTCACCGTGTTTGAAGATGACTTTTACGGCTGACTTTTCCGCAAAAGTCACCCGATCCCGCGGGCATGAGGGGTCTCTCATTATTTTAACATCACAATACATCAAACACCTGTGCCATGATTATGTGACGAACGCTGCAGCTAGAAACTCCTCTCTACTCATAACAATCGTTCTTGACTTGGAGCCACATCGCAGGTTGCCTTTGTGACTTGCATATACACATTCAAATTCCAAAACTTTTGCACGAAAAAGATGCCAAAAAGCTCACGCGAAAACATATTAAATTTGCCGGGGTGTTCACTAAGGCTGTTCCCTTGCTTCCAAGCCGCGGCCTAGCGGAGCGCCTGGAATCAAGGGCAGGCCAAAAACGCCAAGGGCGGCACTCACAAGCCAGCCAAGCGTGTTGCCGATGCCGCAGCTGACAACGAATGTGATCCACAACGCACCCCGGACCCCTTCTACGGCCAACAGCAGGGAGAGGAAGGGCAATCCTCCCAACAACAGCTATCACAGCAGCAAGATCCGCAGGCACAGCAGTCACCCCAGGACGCCGCAATCCCCCAGCAGCAGCAGCAGCGGGAGGCTTTCCGTATTGGTAGTAACCCTTTTAAGTGGCTTCAGCAGGAGTTCCGTTCCGACGAACCCTGGGCAGACATGGTGGACTGAGTGAGGACTCCCCGACAGAGACAGGGGCCTAGAGGCACTACCCTTCGTATTGGCTCTTTCAATGCGCAGGGCCTGTTGATGCCCCTGCATGCTGCTAAGGTTCACGCGGCAGTCAGGGTATGGGTTGAACTTCGCTTAGACATAGTTTGTGTTCAGGAGACACACCACTCCAGGCCTGAACAGCAACACCTGTTCGAACGGGAACTTCGTGCAGCGTCTGAACAGCTGCATGCGGCCGGTTGGGTTGTCGCCTCTTCAGCCCTGGCCCCTACCAGCAGGGCCAAAGGAGTGATTATCTTACTGCGTTCGGATTTGGCTTCCAGTCTTCAATCCAGTCGAACACCAGCTCATCTGGTGGTTAGCCATTCGGAGGCAGGCAGATTGACGCAGTTCTCCTTTAAGTGGGGTGGTCATCAACTGCATCTTCTGAATGTGTATTTTCCAACCAGTGCGCAGAATGCAGCTCGTAAGGAGTTTCTGGAACGTTCTATTCTCCCGGTGGCAGCGTCAGCAGCTCAGGCTGGGGATACGTTGCTGGTAGCTGGCGATTTCAACTTTGTAGCTGATCCACAGCACGACTCTTCAGCCGGGCCGGGTGGACGGCAGTATGACGCAGCCATTGCTAGACTGTTCCAGGATCGATGCCAGGATCTGGTTGATACTCATAGATTCCTCCATCCTCACAGGAGAGACTTCACTCACCTGTACAGGGCGCCGCACCCTGGCGGGTCTCGTCTGGACAGGGTTTACTCTTCGTCAGCCCTGCTGCCGTTTGTGGCCCATACCAGTGTTTCGGTCTCCACACCGTCGGATCATCGGGTCGCAACAGTGCAGCTGCTGCCACGTGTTATGGCTGCACGGGGACCAGGGGTTAGACGGGTTCGTACCTTCTTCACAGCTCATTCCGACCTGAGGCAGAGTATGGAGGATTGGATTGTGCAGGAGACCAGACCGAAGCGATCTCATGGCCTGCCCAAATGGGTGTGTAGCATGGAGGGGTGACGGTGCGGTGGGGTGGTTGGGTGCGTTTTCGCGGCTGTTTACGAGGGCGGCGTGTGGGAGTCACATTTGGGATGGTGAGCTGGCGGCGTAGGGACGTGGATGTGGACTTCTACATGGGCGAGCGTAAGGCACAAATTGTGCCCATGGGCACGTTGCACCGGCTAGCCAGGCGTCTGTGGCCCTCGGGGGCAAGTTGTGTTGCTGAGGAGGGTCACAAGCGTGTTGGCGACAAGGGCGTAACAGAGGCGTGCACATAACGAAAAGCGCGTTCCTATGAATCAGTTGACCTCGCTGTCACCCTCATCCGTGTCCTGACTATGGCTATCCGAGCCGTCATCTCCCTCGTCCTCCCCATCCGAGTTTGCATCCTCATCATCGTCGCTAAAGGATTCCTGCACCTTCTCAGAACTGCACTCATAACAAACAACATACCTATACCGCTCTCCTCTTGAGCGCGGCTTGCAACTTTGTGACCTTTGTCTATGCAATGATGCGTTGTCGTCAGCGAAACAGTGGTTACCTTTATAGGCTTCACTTTGAGCATCCATACCTTTTTGAATTTGTTCCTTCCGCCGTCGAATCCGCACCATGCGTGCTGTAACACTGGGCCGCCCCATTTCAAGCAGCACTGTCTGTGGCAAAGCTACCTTCCCAGTAGCCACGATCGTTTGTAATGCTTGTTTAAAAGCCTGCTCATCTTCAGTACACCACCGACAGCGTTTTTTGGGTGGTGGCGGACCAGACTTCTCCACTTCGTTAACAGCTGCTTCATTGGTGCCGCTACCAAGCCTTAATTCTTTACCACGATTAGTGTTGTAAATAAAGGTATCTAGGTGCGTCTTTGTAACATTGGCAAATCGAGAGTCGTTCCTCAAGCTTTCTGTAAGGCGCTTGACAGTAACTTTTCCATCATCTGCAGCTATACGTTCTGCAGCTTGTTGCAACGCAAGCAGTTGGTCGTCAGTCCAGCGGCGTTTGCCCATGCTGCTTCATAGCAACACATTAACTACATCAGTATTCTAACGTTACTGTGATACGCTGCACTGTGTATATCTACAACGACTATCCGTGATCAACAAGGGATGCCAAACAGCCACTGTAAGAAAGCACGTGTACGACAGCCCCTTTCCGAATAGCAACGTTCCACCTTAGCAAAAGACACCAGGAAAACACATTCGGTCTTTGTTCTGAACATTCACAGTAGCACCACATAACAGCAACTTTATGCCCATGCCCCAAGACAATGTTGTCTGTGCGTGCAAACAACTGTTCTTCATGGTACCGTGGCTTACATTTAGCAATAGTCTGCAAACAGTTACAATGATATGGCTTCGTGCGCGATGTTACCTAAACAGGACATTTACTATGGACCTTAGGGGCCGTTTACATATGCGTGACCGTAATTAAAATCCCGCGTGCAGAAATTCACCCGAGCACCTCCAGACTCCGCAATTTCAGTTACGTGTAGGATTGTCGTGCCCCATCGTTGGCTCGTGCAGTTTGTGGTCACGGGTGGTGACGCTCGCGGGCATGTCCCATGGTTCAGTTGGATGATGACGGTGCGAATTGCTACTGCTGAGGTGACTGAGTGGTTCCGGTTATAATGGCTGGTATTATCGCAGTTCCTTTGCTTTAAGTGTTGTGGGCTGTGGAGAGATCGCTCTGGCGTGTCCAGAGTATCTGTCGTACAAGTGCCTGTCTTGTTAGGCGGCGCAGTGCCCGGGCTAGGGCACTGCGTTTTGCTCACATACTCATGTACTGCCTGTAAGAACCATGAAGGGCTTCATGCGTTCCTGATCTGCGGCGCAGATCTACAGCTTACATGCGCGCTTAAACGTAGTCACAACTAGCGATCTCCCAAGCGTTGGGCAGCCCAACGTAGCAGTCACAATAGACAGTAGGTTATCAGTTCCCCGTGGGCCTGGTCAGTCCGCGGCTCAGCCGTCTTGAAGCCCGCCCCAGCACGGGACGAGAGGCGCTGAGGAGCGCTCCACGTCTACAGCAAGACTAGGAGTGCGCCTTCCGGTTACGGGAGGCAGAGACGGAACCAGCAAAACGCAGTCATCGGCCGGGCTGGTGGAGACGCCATCCTCGCCGAGACCTTCGCTCACCGGTTTCGGTACAATATCGGTGCTGGGATTAATACGTGTATAGGCTACAAGCGGGAGAAGCAGATCTCGCTACAGGTCTCGTCTTGCATGCGCGGGCATTTTCGCGCGTCACACGGATACTTTAGGTCTACCGCGGCCAGCAAGGCTGTCGTGGACACCGTGGCATTTTCCTTTTTAGGTTGACGATTTTAGCTGTTCCGGAAACAGGAGTTCGCGCGTGCGGCTTGCATCAACCTTAGGCTACATTTCAGGCCCAGCCTGAGGCACGAGCACGGCTCGTACGCGCTGCTACGAGCAGCATTGTCAGCAATTGCTTTATAGGCCAGGCCTAGCCTGTGGAGCGAGCGATTCTCGCGGAAGCCAGCGACTCTTCTGCGAGAGTATCCTGTGTTAGGCGGCAACTGAGGCCTGGATTGTTACAGGCCTAGCTCTCACAACTCCCCGTGTACTCCCCCAGTGCGGACCCCGGTGGCACTAGAGGGCCAAACCAGCGTTGGGGCACGACAGGATTTCGATCACGCTCCCAATTCTTGAAAGATCGGGGCGAAAGCGAAACGAAAATTGGGAGTTCTATGCGACAGAAAGTTGGTTTCTGCCTTTTTGATTTTAGTTTCGCGCATATGTAAACGGCCCCTTAAAAGGGTGTTTCCACTTGGCGGCCCGGTAACTTGTCTTGCTAATTCCTAACAAGCCGTTAACAAGCCCTTAGCGTACGTCCGTTTCCACTAGGCCAGCGCCGAGACCACTTTTGACCACAAAAGTTGCCCTGAACAACTACTTCCTTTTTATATTGGTGCATTGCCATCTGTGAAATTGCACGTAGCAGTCTGTGGTAAGTTCATGGCGACTTCCAGTAGAAGGCCATTGACAATGTGAAGGTGCTACTGTGCGATTTGAGCACTGATGCGATGCTGCTCGGCCCGTATTATGAAAAGCTAATCAATGTCAATAGCAATGGTAAAAGAGCTGTGCGAAACCTCAGAGCTGGGTGCAGACGTGTCTAGTTGAGACGTCCGGTCAACGAACGGCTTGTGCCTAGCACTGAGGAGGTAACAGTAGTGCCCTAGGACAAAGAAAATAGCGAAAAGAGGATGCTGGAGGTTCCCGCCTTTTGGTTACCGGAATTGTTAAGGTTAGGGGTCGGTCAAGGGCAGGGGATAACTAGCGGAAGGTTAGCGTGCGCTTACCGGGCCTCGTGTTTCCACTTGGGCCTACCGAGCCTCCGATTTCTGGCCTTTTTCTACTTCCCCTTTTTACAATAGTTATTTGTTAATGATTCTAAGATTAGTTAAGCTTACGGCGGGAGGAAAGCAGTAAGGTCCTCGCCCGGATTGTGGGCTCTGAGCATGCTCGCATTAAAGCCCAGGATTATGGGCTCTGAGCATGCTCGCGATTTCGGCCCAGATTCTGGGCTCTGAGCATGCTCGGAGCATGCTCAGAGCCCATGATCAGGGCTCCATGCTCAAGGCACGCATTTCCAGACATGTAACCACCGCACTGGATAGGTTAACGTAGTCGTTTAGCTATGCAGCAATCGCGAGGGGCATTGGACAACCCGGGCCCCACCTAGGAACAACGAGCCCAGTATATGGGCTCTGAGCATGCTCGGAGCATGCTCAGAGCCCATGATCAGGGCTCCATGCGCAAGGCACGCATTTCCAGACATGTAACCACCGCACTGGATAGGTTAACGTAGTCGTTTAGCTATGCAGCAATCGCGAGGGGCATTGGACAACCCGGGCCCCACCTAGGAACAACGAGCCCAGTATATGGGCTCTGAGCATGCTCGGAGCATGCTCAGAGCCCATGATCAGGGCTCCATGCGCAAGGCACGCATTTCCAGGCATATAACCACCGCACTGGATAGATAAACGTAGTCGTTTAGCTATGCAGCAATCGCGAGGGGCGTTGGACAACCCGGGCCCCACCTAGGAACAACGAGCCCAGTATATGGGCTCTGAGCATGCTCGGAGCATGCTCAGAGCCCATGATCAGGGCTCCATGCTCAAGGCACGCATTTCAAGACATGTAACCACCGCACTGGATAGGTTAACGTAGTCGTTTAGCTATGCAGCAATCGCGAGGGGCATTGGACAACCCGGGCCCCACCTAGGAACAACGAGCCCAGTATATGGGCTCTGAGCATGCTCGGAGCATGCTCAGAGCCCATGATCAGGGCTCCATGCGCAAGGCACGCATTTCCAGACATGTAACCACCGCACTGGATAGGTTAACGTAGTCGTTTAGCTATGCAGCAATCGCGAGGGGCATTGGACAACCCGGGCCCCACCTAGGAACAACGAGCCCAGTATATGGGCTCTGAGCATGCTCGGAGCATGCTCAGAGCCCATGATCAGGGCTCCATGCGCAAGGCACGCATTTCCAGGCATATAACCACCGCACTGGATAGATAAACGTAGTCGTTTAGCTATGCAGCAATCGCGAGGGGCGTTGGACAACCCGGGCCCCACCTAGGAACAACGAGCCCAGTATATGGGCTCTGAGCATGCTCGGAGCATGCTCAGAGCCCATGATCAGGGCTCCATGCTCAAGGCACGCATTTCAAGACATGTAACCACCGCACTGGATAGGTTAACGTAGTCGTTTAGCTATGCAGCAATCGCGAGGGGCATTGGACAACCCGGGCCCCACCTAGGAACAACGAGCCCAGTATATGGGCTCTGAGCATGCTCGGAGCATGCTCAGAGCCCATGATCAGGGCTCCATGCGCAAGGCACGCATTTCCAGACATGTAACCACCGCACTGGATAGGTTAACGTAGTCGTTTAGCTATGCAGCAATCGCGAGGGGCATTGGACAACCCGGGCCCCACCTAGGAACAACGAGCCCAGTATATGGGCTCTGAGCATGCTCCGAGCATGCTCAGAGCCCATGATCAGGGCTCCATGCGCAAGGCACGCATTTCCAGGCATATAACCACCGCACTGGATAGGTAAACGTAGTCGTTTAGCTATGCAGCAATCGCGAGGGGCATTAGGCAACCCGGGCGCCACCTAGGAACAACGAGCCCAGTATATGGGCTCTGAGCATGCTCGGAGCATGCTCAGAGCCCATGATCAGGGCTCCATGCGCAAGGCACGCATTTCCAGGCATATAACCACCGCACTGGATAGGTAAACGTAGTCGTTTAGCTATGCAGCAATCGCAAGGGGCATTAGACAACCCGGGCGCCACCTAGGAACAACGAGCCCAGTATATGGGCTCTGAGCATGCTCCGAGCATGCTCAGAGCCCATGGTCAGGGCTCCATTCTCAAGGCATGCCACCCTGCATCCATTTCGCGCCACAATCACGGCTACGGACTCCCCATACATAGGCCATGAGGTGGCTAAGAGCTGGGGTCGGTGTCAAGTCATATGCATGCGTGGCAGGGCCGAATGTGCTAGTTGGGCGGGGCATGCAACATGGAACCCGGTCAAACATGCTGTTTTAAGGGGCTGGAGGGCCACCCGGCATCCATTTCGTGCCACAATCACGGCTAC